GCTGCGGTAGACACAACTGACTGGCAAATTACAAGTATGCCCGAAAGTCATAGACGTACAAGTTGCTGGCAAGAATGGATGCATGAGAATATCTATATATGTATATACAAATGTATGTGTGTGTATACATATGTGCGTGTGTGTTTATGTATGTGTTGTTGCTTTACCAACCAAAGTTAATAGCACTGCGCTCCACCACAAATCATAGTGGGGTGGCTGAAAAGCAACTTGCCTCATATTTCGTATGCATTTTTCTCATTTTCCTTGATATTTGTTTCGCGCTTGTTTGTGCCGAGATGCATTTATGCGAATTATTTATTTACTCAGAATTAATTTTGTGTGTGCATGCCACGGCATAGTCGTTGCATGTCAAGTTACTTTGTTGCTGTTGTTTTGCTGCTGCCGCTTGAACTCTCGCCAAGAATCTTCTGTATAAATACATATTATAAATTTTAATGGCATCAAATTAAGATGTAGTGCAATCATATTCGCATTCGTGCGCTCCATCTATTGTTTATAAGCAAGTTGCATGTGTGCGTGTATGTGTTCAGGTAATTCAGCCATGTCAGCCATGTCAGCCGCTTGTGTTGACAGCAGGAGCAAACATTTCGCCTGAATTTCTTTTGTCTGCCATCAACGTTCCACAATTCAATGTGTTGCTTGGTATTGTTGTTGTTGTTATTGTATGCAACTTCGGCGTATCATTATTTCGAGCGTGCATAGCGCGAATCTCAAGTCGGCTGCATATGGGTTCTTGGTCTTCTTCGAGTTCCCAGCCTGATTATCTTTCGGTTGATTGCGGCGCATCACTTTTAGTGTGTACTGTATGAAAAGCGGCGCCTTCCGTTTTCCGCGAAACTTTTCATAAATTGTGCGGCATAACGAAGGGTTGCCATTACTAAGGGCAATTTTGCACTTTTATATGCACTGGAAGCTATTAAGGCTTTAAATTTTAAAAGAAGTTTTCGAAATTGTAACTGAAAATTAAAATTAGAAAAAAAATAAGAACAGTAATTCCAAATACCGAAGAGAATCGAATAAAAATTTTAATTTTAAATAGCGGTTTGAAAATTACAAAAATCACGTCAATCCCATTTCTTATAAAAATTAAAATTAATAATACTCTTTTGAAAATAGATTTTTATGCGTTTGTGTATGAAAAAAATTTTAAAAAATGTATTCCCAAAGAACTTTTTTGAAACTTTTTTCTTAAATTTTTATTGCCAATCATTTCAATTTTTAAACTAAATATTTTTTAATTGCCCTCATTTTTTCCAACAAACTCCTCACAGCAGCATAAAAGTTTAGGGGCTTGTTGGTGTTTCGTTGTTGTAAAAAAAAAATTCAATTTAATCCAATGTTTTAAGTAACAGCTTGATATTTCACAAAAATATTTATGTACATATGTATGTCAATATGTATTCAAAGCCTTTTGACTCATAAGAAATAATAACAACAAATTATTACAATTATATTGCTCTTGTTCTTGTTATTTTCAATATGTTATCAGTGCCACTTTTATTTTACTATAGATTTATATCAATTACTTATGCTGTTTTATTCTTTGTTGTTGCTGCTCCCAATTTTTACTCTCGTCTACTCTATTTCATGCAATTATTGCTAACACATATGCCTCCTTCCGCCAATATATGTATCTGTATAAAGATGTACATATACCAGTTATATATATAGTATATGTGTGTATGTGCATTTCTGATGCCTGACAGTCTCTTCGCTGCAATTTTTCCCACATGATGCGATCTTTTTGTTTATTATTGGTCGGCGTGGCAAGTTCGTTACCAAGAATTCATATGCGGAATCAATTACTTACAAACATACACACACGTACATATATCTATATATATATATATATTTATATAATTCCATATATATTTGTGTAAGCACTTATAAACCATCCTCTCATGCCATCAGCAGTTAATCGAGGCTAACAGTTAACTCATATCTGCTATGTACAGGCTCTGCTAACAATCTCTGCTATTTAAATTGCTGCTATGTCAATATATATTTATTACATATTTTATTTAACACTTTTTGCATTATTTTTAGCATCAATTTCGCTTCACATCTTGTCTCTTTCAAGCAACTTCTACGCTTCTTTGCTTTTTACCACTCACATACATACATATGTATGTGTGCCGGCTTCTGCTCGTCGGTGTAGTCTGAGAAAATTTACTATGCTATAATATATAATTTTATCGGACATATATAATCCATTGCATGCATAATGCAATTTTCGTTGCACAGCTTGCAAATTGTTTGATCTGTATGAAGTGACTTAATGTGCGTGGCCAGTCAGTGAGTTGTTTCCTGTGCATACAAAGTTATGTGGTTAAGTGCAAGCACAAATATATGCAAATATAAAAACACACACACACATGCATAGATATGTGTGGATTATTTAATAGCCTCACATATTAAGTCAAATAAGTCAGTTGGTTATTGGGTCTTCTATTAGCGCAAAGTTCAGCTAAGCGCACTTTATATAGGTTATGAAAACTATCCACCAGTGATTGGCATATTCGAAAAGGAAACATTATATCAAATGTATGTTAGTTGACTAGTGAAATAGCAAATATTTTTCAATGCAGAAAAATGGCTAATGATTATTTATTTTATGTTTTTTTTTATTTCTGATATTTATAATTTTGATAATTTTTTTTTATTTTTTACATTAAAAACAAAAGAAAAATATGAAAAAGATTAACCAACAATTGTAG